GAAATTCATTGTGCTGTTCCTATCTTTGTAATATAATATTTCTCTTTGGGCACCTCTATTCCTTTAACTAGTGTAGTAGATCCTTAGACTAAACCAAGTTTTCGTTCTGATCACTCCATAATTCTTCTAAAATTGAACTTTGTAATAACGGATTGTGGAAATATTGAAAGATTTTAGTTCTTCTGAAGGAAATTGATATGGTAATTGATAAAATTATCATACAATGTGATGTTCCGATATATAAATAATTATGAAAACATTTTGGATATACATTTAGATCTGCCGGATTTGCAATCAGTTGTTTTCTATAGACTATTAATAGAATTAGAGGAAAATCTATTTTATATAGTATATATAAAGAAAGAATCCAATAAACGGGAAATAGTCATGAAAGTAAAGATTAAAAATTTAGAAAATTCGTCTTATGCTGATAAAGTTAAGCAGTTAAATATTTTAAAATATAACAAATATTAACTTTATACATGTATATTATCTTGGTATCGTAAATAATGTATCCCGTTTCCTTTCAACTTGTGAAAGAACAAGCAATGTCCTTCAAAGACCTTTTATACCTTCATTGTTAAAAGTTATTTTAAGATTTACTAAGGGCACACATGCAATGTATGAGGTATTTATGAACACCAAGATAAAATCTTCTTGTATATCAAAATGGTGTGAAAAGCTAAACATAACATATAGCAAAGATGATTTGAGTTATTTTTTTTTCTTTGATTTTTTACAGAATTATTAACAGAATAAGACCAATTCATTTCTTTAAAAAAGAAATTATAATAGACTGTAGATTTTGTAAAAATGAGATGGAGTCAGAACATCTGTTTTGGTAATGTACGGTAACAAAGACATTAATATTTTCTGTTTTTGAAAAGTATGGCAATTTTAGAACTTTGCTCAACTGTTGTAACTTTATCCTAGGTTTGAAAGATAATAATTCAACTGCAGTAAATATGCTTTTTTCTTTTTCAGAAAAGATATATTTACAATTGTAGAGTGAAAGAACAATAAATAAAGTACCAATTCATAATTTTAAGAGAGAAAGCATTTTTTTCAGAATGATTTAGATTCTTTCCTGAAGACCTGGAATCATTTTTGTCAAAAGATAGATCCATAGTTATCCTTAACTAAAAACGATAGCCAGAAGTACAAATAACTAAAGACATATTATTCATATTCATATGTATCATTCATATTGCAAAGCTTTTTTCCCTCATTAAAAAACAATTTTCATCTTTTTGGGTGAAAATATATAATTATTATCAAGTTCCTAAAGACGGCAGAGTAAAAATGTTGACAATTGTCATTTATAATTCCTATTTATAGGGTATAGGATGGGGCTCTTGAAAAATAGGTGAAACAAAATTTGATTAAGTTGTTCAAAGAGTTACGAGCCGATATAAAATGAAATTTGATATCTTACGGCATACAAATATCAACGCGGTCTACTATTCTTCCTGTAAGTTACTGAAATATTTATGAGTTACGAACGCAAAATATACAACAACTTCTCTTTTGCACAAATATTGTCAAAAGTACGATTGTGAATAGTCGAAATAACGAAACCACAATGGTGAAAACTCGATATAATTTCGTGTTTTCATCATCGATTTTTTTACCATCGTGATTCTGTTATTTCTAATTTTCATCGTTTCGAGTTATATGTGTGTCATGATGACCCTAACGGGACACCGTATTAGTCCCATTATTAGGCAACGAATTGAAGTTTTGTATACATGTGTGAAATTTACGATTCAAACCAAGGTTACCTTTTAAGATTTTGTAAAGAAGTTTAACTCCCTTTACACCAAGGCGACGTTTTCATGGCGTCTTATAAAAAATCAGAACGCCCAGTATATACAGGTGTGTGCCCTAAGATCGCAACCATTGCCGCAATATCGCTACCGCGAATGTAATGCGGGTTTACGACGCTTTGACGGAGTTTTTAATATTTTTGTCAGACCATTAATTGCAATACCGGTATCTAGAACGCATTTTTTTGCTACGTAATTACACTTGATAATAATAATGTCATTTGGTTTATACATGTATATACATGTAGCTTATTTTATGACTTTGTAAAAACAACAAGTAATACAACCCACAAACCTTTTTAGTTCCGCTTCCTCGTTTTATAAAATCGCTTTAGGTGGCTTCTTTATGAACATTATACATTGTATATGTGTTCTTAAACATTCATGTTTGCGACAAATTGGAAATGAGACAGATGTGTTCGACACACAATAGAAAGGACACTCGAAGCACATTTGTCTCACATTTTTTCCATAAAATTCTTAAAAGGTAATACATGTAACTATGTCCATATGTACTCCGGCTACCAGCCATTGTTCTGTGTTTTCTGTATTTATAATACTTTTTAGGTCACTTCCGGTCAGTCAAAAACTTCCTGCCTCTGCATATGAGTCATATATTAAATTAAAGTACTAGTATATTCCTGTTCTGCATGTCACAATGAAAATTTCTACAAGTGAAGCAGCCAGAACCTAAATACATATGCAGCAAGTCTATTCTTATCGTTATCAATTGTGATACGTTTATTGTCAATGCTTAAAGTTTTATAGATGATTCATGGCACTAGAGACAAGGTAGTATCTACGGTGACATAAAGGGGACATAGAATTTTCTTATTTATTACGTGCGCACACAATAGCTTTTCCGTGGCCACGCAATACTATTACGTGCGCACGCGCATATGTATTCCGCATTTGGACCCTGACCGGGATCCTCGCATGAATAGTTCGACGCCCCGTGTATGTGTCGAACCTATAGCGTTTAGGGGTAAGTGGTTTTTTGAAATCACTCAGCCACGGAGGCCCTTAAGTGATTCATGGAAAAATAAGACGATGCGATGACACGATAGTGAAAATAATATCGCGTTTTCATCGTCATGCAATCGCAGTTTCATCATATTGTACCATCGTATTTTCACCATCGTAACATCGTCTTTCATCATAGTACCATCACGTTTTCATCATCGAGCCTTCGTTGTTTCACCATCGTACAATCGTTGTTTCACCATCGTACAATCGTTGTTTCACGTTCGTACCATTGTGTTTTCACCATTGCACCATCGCGTTTTCATCAACGTACCATCGTGCCATCGCGCTGTCACCATTGTACCATCGTGAACGGGATTTAGTATGTTTCAGTGTACGCCTTCAGGTTAAGTCAATCAATTTCTTGAATTAGAGATATTGTAATCAATAGTTCACTGCAGGTTTTCATAAAGAAAGCATAAGCAACCCTATTGATGATTAAACTTGAGGTAAAACTGCGAACCTCGATTCTAAAAAAGAATTTCTGCCATGGGGAAATATGTGACAAATAATTCATAAAAAATGACATGAGACAAATGTGCTTTCTTGTCCCTAAAAAACACATGAGACAAATGTGCTTTCTTGTCCCTTAAAAAACTTGATCGGAACACATTGGTCACACAAATGAGTTTTTTGGGGTAGACATTTGAGGTCGCATTTGTCTCATGTGGGACAAATGCGACCGCATCGGTCTTACGTAAGACAAATGTGCTCCGAGACAAATGTGCTCCTACAGAGCTTTTATGATGGCAGTGTGCCCGTCGTCTGTCATTTCGTATACTACTTAAATTGGTGAGCGGATTTTTACCACACTATATTGGAATGATCCTAAGGTGACCCTCTTCAAAAGTTATATAAATACATGTAGTTCCAGTCATTTGCATTAGTAGGTCAGAGGTGCTGAAAAGTTAAAAATATCTTTTCATCAGTCATAACCATGGGATCATAAATGGCCCCACCAAGTCAACTGCCTAATACTAAGTAAAAGCGAATGTAAATAACTTTTCACTCCAAACAATAATGCACATTGAGCTTAGATAGTTAAAATTGGCTTGTATTTAGATATTTTGCTTGTAGCATTACTTAACGATCAGCTACAAAAGTTATAGACGACCACTTGGATCAAAATTGGTCACCAGCGTCACCTGGTGAAATCGTGTTAATTGTACATTTTAGCCATAGGCCTCTGGTGAACGATCCACAGCTAGCGTCATCTTTTTCTTTCGTTTTCCTGTCTTTCGTTTACTTTGATCTCAATTGAGTGATAGTTTTTACAATTTAAATGTATTCAGTGGATAAAACACAAAATTTGAAGATTATATGTTTATACTTTAATTTAGAGTATTGCTATGCGCATGTCAATGTTTACTCTGTTTTACCTATCAATTAAGGCGTATACGAATTTTAATTGTAAATGTTGTGGCTTGTATAAAGATAGATGAAAATACATGTATTGATATATTAGCCGCAACCGCCATCAAAATGACAAAATCAAATGCTTTTCGTTACGAAAGCATTATTTCTAGTGTTAAATATTTATCTTTTTAATAGAAAAGTACATACATGACAAGGATAAAACAAATTTTATAAACTATGTTTGGAAGGATAAATACAAAATACTCACGATTGTAATGTATTTTCCCCTTTTTTTATTTCTTTATATCAATACATGTTATATACGAAAGCAGTTACATTTGTTGAAAGATTCGTGTTTTTTTTACCGGATTTTGATATCCAAGAGATCCCATACTCAATCGCAGTAATGTGTTTTCCCTACTTTTCCATGAAATCAGTGATCATATTTTGAAACCGTCACCATGAGTTTAAATATTGCGGCACTCCCTGTTAAGTTATGAAGATACATGAACATGTTCTTAATAACTTTAAGAATTTATTCAAGCACGTAACTTTTTGTTACAAATAGTGTTGATAAATAAATGCACATGTATTTATTGTTGAAAATACTAAATGACAGTCACGTAAAGTCTAGATCCCCGATATTAATTGCATGACAACTTGACCATAGAACTGTATAGTTTGTTAAACCTTTTATTATCTCCAAATCCTTCTTATTTTTCTTTTCATTGCGCCTTTACTTGTTTTCCAGACAAATAATAGTGATTTTCGGTCTGCTGTTTGTTTCCTCTTGTAACGGTAGACATAATGCCTTTAGCAAGGAACGTAACAGCTTCCCGCCTTTATCACTAAATTTCCCGCCATTTTTCCTGTCGTATTCTACAACAACCATGTCGACCACTACTCCAGGTGTAATGATGGTTAGTGACGAGGACGATAAATTAGCCGATGACATTGGAATGAAAATTCCTGCACAAGATTGTATTCTATCATGGGATGACTTTAAAAATCACGTTTGTATTATTTTCAATTCCATATGTAATCTTTAAATGATTTAATCATAACGAATATTACAAACTGTATCAGATGCATCCAAGATAATTTCTTGTATTATTTGTGTGATGAAAGATTTTAATGATTACGTTGACCTTTAGAAATGCCAACTAATGTTACAATGCCAAAAAAATGGTAACATTATAATTATCATGCAGAAATAAAAATTTACGGAAATATATTTTAGATGATCGCATTTATGCATTTATTTGGAGATTTGAGGCTGCAGTGCTGACATACTTGTTGTTTTTTTGTCTGTAATGATATCATTGGAATCTCTTTAAAAACTTAACGGTATGTATATTTTAAATGATTTTCACAATTTGATTGAAATACAACAACTATTTTTAGGTTGTTGGGAAGAACTATATTGAATTATATGATATATCGGACAACGAAATGTTTATTTCCGGGATGACAACAAAAGTTCACCTGCGATATAGCCTTTTGAATGACACAGTTATTAAAAGAGATTTAAGTTTAAGGTAAGATAATATATTATTTTATATTTCACATTTTATTGATACGCCATAAGTGCTAAGAAAAGGAATGTTAAATTTTATTGATCAGCAAAATTAGCAATTTTTCAATTGTGAAAATGTGTCTTTTTTCAATTTGTTGGATAATGTTTTTTATTAAGGTTATTCTAACTGTATGGATGAATGTTTGAGTATATGTATGCATATATGTGTAAATTCATATATGGATATATGTGTTGATTCATGTATGGATATATGTGTAGATTCATGTATGGATATATGTGTAGATTCATGTATGTATATATGTATAGATTCATGTATGGATATATGTGTAGATTCATGTATGGATATATGTATAGATTCATGTATGGATATATGTGTAGATTCATGTATGGATATATGTACAGATTCATGTATGGATATATGTGTAGATTCATGTATGGATATATGTATAGATTCATGTATGGATATATGTGTAGATTCATGTATGGATATATGTATAGATTCATGTATGGATATGTGTGTAGATTCATGTATGGATATATGTGTAGATTCATGTATGGATATATGTGTAGATTCATGTATGGCTATATGTATAGATTCATGTATGGATATATGTGTAGATTCATGTATATGTATAGATTCATGTATGGATATAAATGTAGATTCATGTATGGATATATGTATAGATTCATGTATGGATATATGTGTAGATTCATGTATGGATATATGTACAGATTCATGTATGGATATATGTGTAGATTCATGTATGGATATATGTATAGATTCATGTATGGATATATGTATAGACTCATGTATAGATATATGTGTAGACTCATGTATAGATATATGTGTAGATTCATGTATAGATATATGTGTAGATTCATGTATGGATATATGTGTAGATTCATGTATGAATATATGTGTAGACTCATGTATAGATATATGTGTAGATTCATGTATCGATATATGTGCAGATTCATGTATGGATATATGTGTAGATTCATGTATGGATATATGTGTAGTTTCATGTATAGATATATGTGTAGACTCATGTATAGATATATGTAAAGATTCATGTATGGATATATGTGTAGATTCATGTATGGATATATGTGTAGATTCATGTATGGATATATGTGTAGATTCATGTATGGATATATGTGTAGATTCATGTATGGATATATGTATAGATTCATGTATGGATATATGTATAGATTCATGTATGGATATATGTGTAGATTCATGTATGGATATATGTGTAGATTCATGTATGGATATATGTGTAGAGTTATGTATTGATATATGTATAGATTCATGTATGGATATATGTATAGATTCATATATGGATCACTAGCAATGAGGAAAACAGAGTATTTTCATTAAAACAATTTAGGTTTCACACATGCGTGTACTCTATTATACAAATATTATATATTATCATATCATAGGATTGATGATACAAATACCTGTGCCTATGTACCTGGACTAGAAGAGCGCGTCGACAGTGAAAAAGCAATATTCCGTGCTCTTTCAGGTTAGTATCTTAAGAGTAAAGTTTTCCTGGTTTACCAATTGTGTTATTATTCTATTTATTCTATCATTTAGTTGCAGATTTGACCAGAACTGGTCAAGCAAAGACTGGATATCTAAAATTAATGATACCATGAGTATAATTCCTATAAATATTGCCAACAAGAAGTTTATATTTTATGACACTAACTCGTTCATTGGCGTACTAACGAACACATTAGATGTGAAAATCCTCATTTGCGTAGTTGTGAACTGTTGTTTTTTACATTGCTTGATTGGAATGATTAATCATACGCTACATTGTTTAAGGTTTTACCGTCAGTCCAACAAGAATGGATTTTGTTGTCAGTTCAGACCCTAGCAAATATTTGTTCTATTTCTTCTGCTATACGGGGGATACAATCATGGACGGTAGATGTTCTCAAGGATTAAATGTACTTTTAGTAGAGGTTGGTCAATATTAAGTTTATGTCTTATAAATACATTGAATAATCCACGCCCTGTTGTAAAGTCTAGATCTATTTTCTCATATTCGAATGATTCACATTTCAAACATGACATTCTAAAGATTAAAAACTCTTAAAACTATTCCGAGTAACATATAAAATATGATTAATTTTGGTTTGATTACGTAAAAAATTCTAACACTGCATATTTACATGTCTGTTCGATTCAACTGAAATATAATTTTCTTTTCATATCATCAAATAAGTATCACAGATTCGATAAATAAGAAATTTAATCACGATACACAATACGTAAGATTTTTTTGTTTAATATTACAATAATACCAATTTACTAATAATGGTTTTGAGGACAAAAGATCTTGGCCACAAGATGGCGATGGCGTACCTGAAGGTCAAATCAACCTTGATGACATCCCATGGGGAGATATAGAGAGGACAATGATTCGATGTTTTGGTCAACAGTTTCTCGATGATACTGACCCACAAGCAATTTGGACATGGAGAGGAAAAGGTGAATATAACAAAGAAAACTTTTCTTGTCCGATAATTTATACCATATGAATTTATGATCTTTTTTTTTTACATATTTTCAAGAAAGTGCCATAAGGTTTTGCTGACCATATGGTTATTTTAGAATGGAATGTTAAAAGCAATGACTAATGGTAGTCATTTAAACAAACAAAAGATATTGTTAAAAAGATCTTATCGACTGTATGACTATATTTATAATAATATGACGACGCCCTACGTATACAGGCGAGTGGTCCTTATAACATCTCAGTAGTTCATTTAAGAATTCAGGAAGAATAGACATTTTTCTGCTAATTTAAGGCGTAGAACTTTACATCTCTAACAATGATATCTCTAAGGTTAAACAATTAATATATTTAGATATAAAAAGACCTTACCCAAGGGACTTCAAAATTCATTGAAATATCTTTGTTCTATTTGTAATTTAATTTTTAATTTCATTTTACTTAATAAAAATCATTGTGATTTCATTCTGTATGTTGTTCTTAGCACTTGGCATCGTGCAATGATTTATGTTCTTAATTTTGTCAAACATTTAATTATAAATAAGGTTTGCTGCTAGAAAGATGTATTGTTTTAAAGCAGAATATCTTTAAAAGGTTATTTTTCACACACTCAGCTTATTTTTTAATCATTATAAATTTTGTCTAGAAAAAATGTTTTTATTTGATAGATGGCCTGGTTATAGAATACTAGTATCAATTAAAACTTTAGGGTAAATATCTATTCTGGCGATGAAATAATTCTTTTTAAGTTTTTGGGCTTCTAGAGCACATCTTAATGTCACACATGTATTTATCGTATAAGTCTTTGTTAGTGATGACGTCATATTTATCTATTTTTAGAATGTGCAGTTCCAGGGTCTGATGTTTACAATGAAGCCGTCATGGGCACATAGGATATCGTCAGTTTCTGTCGTGGTTTTATTGTCATTATTTAATCACTCAGTTATTCTATTAAAAGGGAATATAATATCCTCATCACATTCTCAAAATTTATTAATTCAAGTGAAGTAATGATGGTTTAATAAAGATATGATATGTAAGTCGGTTGATAATTTGCCAATTAATAAAATTACATTAATACAACAAATGGCTTTTTTGTATTTTTTATTATTATTCTATTTATATATCATAGCTTATTATGAAACATAACCAAAAGTGGAAAATATTATTAAGAAGTCCACGTAGAATTAAGATGTTTTCACAAAACCTGACAATAACCTTATAAACTTGAATGAAATAAATTGCTTATAATTGTGAGAGACAGCTGTGTGAAAAAGGAACGTATTTCAGACTAGGTTAGTCAAAATTATGTCTAAAAAGTAACAAAATCCTGCACACAAGTGCAACGGATATATCAAGAAATAAAACACCATGAAGTGTTTACAAGTACACTGTATATCTTTAAATATGCATTTCAACAAGATTTTCGTTACATTTATCATTTTAAACAGTTGACCTTAATTTTGATCAAGTCACAACTTTTTTTGTATAAGAATTTTAACTTTATAATGTACAAATGTAGAATTTAACTTAGATATCAGCTAACCTACATTTTGACTTTGTGACCCTTTTTATACGCCCGTTTGAAAAACGGGACGTATTATGGGAACGCCCCTTGCGGTCGGGCGGGCGGGCGGCGTCCAATTTTGTCCGGAGCATATCTCCTACATGTATGGAGGGATTTTAATGAAACTTCATAGAAATGTTCACCACTATGAGGAGCAGTGTCGCGCACATGAACCAGGTCTCTAGGTCAAAGGTCAAGGTCACACTTAGAGCTCATTGAAAAATGCTTGTCCGGAGCAAAACTTCCACATGTATAGAGGGATTTCAATATTACTTGGCACAAATGTTCACCATTGTGAGGCGGAGTGTCGCGCGCAAGATTCAGGTCCTTGCGGCCAAGGTCAAGGTCACACATAGAGGTCAAAGTTTAGATAAAAATATGAAGATGTGTATATGGACCATTTAGTCATCATTTATTTAGGGATTGTAACACAAATGGTCATTATCAAGACTATGGCTGTGATACATATAATTTAGGTCAATATATACAAGGTCAAGGTCACTAAAGATGATGAAATATCCAGATTTTGTCCGGAGCATATCTCCTACACGCATGGAGGGATTTTAATGAAATTTCATAGAAATGTTCACCATTATGAGAAGCCATGTCACGCACATGAACTAGGTCTCTAGGTCAAAGGTCAAGGTCACACTTAGAGCTCATTGAAAAACACTTGTCCGGAGCAAAACTTCCACATGCATAGAGGGATTTCAATATAACTTGGCACAAATGTTCACCATTGTGAGGCGGAGTGTCGCGCACAAAATTCAGGTCCCTGCAGCCAAGGTCAAGGTCACACATAGAGGTCAAAGTTTAGATAAAAAATATGAAGATGTGTATAGGGACGATTTCATCATCATTTATTGAGGGATTGTAACACAAATGGTCATTATCATGACTACGGCTGTGACACATGTACTTTAGGTCAATATATGCAAGGTCAAGGTCACTAAAGATGGTAAAATATCCAGATTTTGTCTGGAGCATATCTCCTACATGTATGGAAGAATTTTTATAATACTTTATGGAAATGTTCACCACCATGATATGTATTGCTCCATGCATGATCTAGGTCTCCAGGTCAAAGCTCAAGGTCACACTTAGAGCTCATTGAAAAACGCTTGTCCAGAGCAAAACTTCTACATTCATAGGGGGATTTCAATATAACTTGGCACAAATATTCACCATTGTGAGGCTGAGTGTCGCACGAAAAAAATTTAGATCCCTGCGACCAAAGTCAAGGTTACACATAGAGGTCAAAGTTCAGATAAAAATTTGAAGATGTGTATAGGGACCATTTAGTCATCATTTATTGATGGATTGTAGCACAAATGGTAACAATCATGACTACAGGTGTGACACATTTAATTTAGGTTAATATTTGCAAGGTCAAGGTCACTAGAGATGATTAAATATCCAGATGTTGTCCGGAGCACATTTTCTACATGCATGGAGGAATTTTAATGTTACTTTATAGAATTGTTCACCACCATGAGACGTAGTGCCCTGCACATAATCCAAGTCTCTAGGTCAAAGGTGAAGGTCACAATTAGAGCTCATAGAAAAACGCTTGTCTGGAGCAAAACTTCTACATGCATAGGGGGATTTCAATATAATTTGGCACAAATGTTCATCATTGTGAGGCTGAGTGCCGTGCATAAAATTCAGGTCCGCGCGACCAAGGTCAAGGTTACACATCCTGTGCATATCTTCCCTACTGATTTGTTTTAAAGTTCATTTAACAACACAGTGCCAAGAATAAAAACTTGCTTGCTATATAACACTTATCCATAATGCCCCCATCTTCATCTAAAATTTTCGTAAACGGGCGTATTTTGTGACTATGGCACCCTTGTTTGACATGGCATTGTGTTTTGTTGTTTAATAGTAAATGTTGGTGACTACTACATCCCAGTGACATAATTGTTTATAATGAGAGCTACAGCTATGAACTTTAAATTTAGATTATGTGCACGCAACTTGGATACATATGGTTAACTTGACCTAGAATTTGACGTTATGCCTGCTTTTGTCATAGTTATCAATATTATATGCCTCATGTCATTTTGAGCCTTTAAAGCTAGGTGCACTATACAAGTCTCATGACGACCTTCACGTTTTATATCAATTGTATAATAATAACTGCCTTTCGAAAAACTAACACTTAAAGACACTTATATAAATTATATACTGCACACAAGGTAGTACCAGCCCGCATAGATCAATCGGTTAGTGCGCTCGACATTGCGGGTTTGATTCCCGGGTGGGAACGAATGAACATCTGAGCAGAATGAATGAACGACCAACTATACAAAATAATTCAAATTCAAAAATAAAGATAAAAGACATCCACGCTCAAGATCAAAATCTTTTAACATAAAAAACATCTGGTTTAGGAGTGATCTTTCGGAAGCAATAAAAACAATAAAATTACATGAAATTGCAGACTCGGTTTGATCGAGACTGTTCATGAAGGATAATTGAAATAAAAGTGCAGCATCCTTTACGTCCCCTGACACCAGCTTTGTCGGGCTATATATGTCACGAAGCGTATATATATTATGGCACACGTGTGACATAATAGTGTTCGGTTCGAATTTGTCATACGTGTGACATATACGGTGGAATATGGCGCACTCTCCAGCCCAAAATGGAACATAAAATGTGCCAAATTCGGTTGGTTTGAGTTTTTCTATGCTCACCAAAACGTATTTGTCACTTACCAAAAATGCGCATAAAGATGAAAATACCAAAGTATACGTCACACGTGTTTTTTCTTTTACTTAATTAAATAAGCCCGTTTTGCATAATTATATTTACCGTTTATTGTCAACAACACGGATGACAAGTTGAAAATCCCTAATTTTGACTTAGTAAAGGGCTATAACTCTGGCATAAATGTGGCACAATCGATAACCAATTTACACAACTTCATATGCATAAAGTTTCATGACCCTAGCTCAAATACTGTTTGGTCTTCATGCGACACAAGTGTTAATTGTAAATTTGTACTAAGTGAAGGACACTTATTCTGACATTTCAGCTTCATAAATTATCGATTTCAATTTCACGAATTCACGATTTCAACTTCATTTTCAATTTGGATGCAAATTCTTTGTGTATAAATTTCTATTCAAGGTAGAAAACATTCATCTATATGTACTTTTTGTCATAGAATAAACTTTTGATTGTTATTAGAATAGATAAATAATGTGTTCGTTTTCTTATTTGTATATTTTACAGCCTTATAGGCACTGCATGTACAGGTATAAAAATAAATTACCTGATATTTTCACATTCTGGTGATCATATCTAGAGAGAGTTTTAACAGAAAATGTCTGTTACTTAATGCACATGGGAAATATATGTATATGAAATAAAATAAAACATTCACTTACAAGATACATGTATTGAACAGCTGTCTTCAATAGATTAACTTCAGCAGTTGTTTTCAGTCATTCGACTTAACAATTGTTATACAAGCAATATACAAATATAATTTTTTGAATTGGATGGCCAATTAAGTGGCCTGTTGTCGGATAAGGTAAAGTAGGACAAATTCTTTCAGGTGAGAAAGTTATACACCTTGCATATGGTAGGTAAGTTCTATATACTGGTGCCAGAGATAATGCACATAGGCACCTAAGTTTTCTTTGGATGGTTTTCATACCTTTACCAACATTTGAAATAAACAAATGCACAATAATTTTGAAATTTTCAAGCTTGATTGGTTTCAAGAATACTGTTACATTGTAATTAAGCCGTTCTCTATATCTACAATGAAAAGTTTACATAATTTGAATTATAATAATAAATCATTAAAACGTTTAAGTCTAAATAAATGAGTACTGATCTTTGCCTATAGGAATCTAGATTTTCGCTAACATATTGCACATTTGTTTATACACATGTCACTTAATCGTGAATTCAAGAATAAACTTGTGAAGAGAGAATTACAGTCAATATTAAACAGAAAAGAAAATATGAAACATGGACTGTAGTCACCCTGTTTAGTTTATAACTTGATTTAGATTTAGGAATATCACAGAAACTGAAGTTTAAAAAGAAAAATGTTTTTAGAAAAAGAAATTACCTCTTGTATAGATTAAAATATATGATCTACAGAGAGGATCCATTATTTTTACTTGTGGGAAGATATATATGGTGAATAAGTTTGGTTAAATTCTCAAAAAAAATACTTCTGTTTCTTAGAGTCCGCTGTCTAAAAAAATTGAAGGCATATGTATGCACAATTTATACCAGAAAAGTCTTAAAACCGGCCATTTTTGGTGTGTACATAGTATTCCAGTAATTTATGCACATTTCTTTAAAAAAAAAAATTTGTTCTTAAAATAGTAACATTTGTGTTCCAGTTTTTGGCTTCATACATGTAATATTATTTTATTTTTAAACTCATTACTTTAATTTAATGCAGTTATTTGATTAATCATGTAGTATTTAATGTTTATTTTTTTAAATGACATCTAAGGTAGTCAATCAGGTAACATAAATAACAACCTATTGAATTTTGTGATTTAGTTAGGATAAAGTGTTCTTATATCTTATTATATTTACATTAGGATGAGATACTGCCTTATTCAAAATGTCGGGCTTTGCCACTGTTGGTTGTAACAAGGCAGCTATATAAAGTGCTTCGCATGGTTGTAAAATTGACAAGTGATTGTTGATATAACGGACACAGTATACAAAAACCCTATATCCGAGTTCCATATTTAGATATGTATGGTTGTATGGGGTGACAGGTTGTAAGGGTTGGTACATGTCTATGCACTCGGGTATAATTACAACTCTTACACACCAAGGGCGACTGTGGCTTGTCCACAATGTTTACATACTGTTCTGTCAAAACTAATTTGTCTTAGAAGTAAATAACGTGTCAACAAGTGTGTAAAACATTAAAATTATTTTAAACGAAATAAGAACGATTCGGCAAAAACAAGCATGATTTTAGTTAGATTTAATATTTGTCAGTTGAATCTAATTCTCTTGTATTTTTTTCCAACCGGAGGCTGTCTAGAGCCAGGATGATTTTCAGTGATTAACTGCTAAAAAGTAGGATTTTCATTGGTTATTTTAAGCATTTCACAAGCGCCACGAGACTGCCAAGACGCCTTTTAAGAGTACCATTATCCGCGTGCGATCGTTTCAGATATAGCCCATGGATTACGCCTGAATGGAAAAATACATCGGTAAAATATTCAAATGACCTACGATTAGCCTGTAATTATAGTTACATATTTTTATTTCCACCCAAAATAAATTCAGTCGGTAGCAAAGAATCGCCCGTCACCAGCGATATGTCGAAGATGATAATTTTGCTACAACTTTAAGTTATTGATAATAATTCTGCAGAACATTAATAAATTCATAATCTATTCCGACTTAGAACACGGTATTTTTTTATTAAATCAGTGCTTAGAACTAACGCAAAACTTACTAAGAAATGACGACCACAGCTGAGTATCTTTTTGAAAGATGCTTCTTGTTATGAGATTGAATCAACCTTGCAAACTGTAAACACTTACTACTAAGACACTGAATTTGACTCGTCATTTTTTCTTTTTATATTTGATAACATATATACCCATGTTTGTAAAAAGAATGCATATATTTATATGAATTTAAGCTTTCTGTGCAGCTATACTAGAACTTCACTGACCCATAATTTATAAATGTGATGATCAAGTTAACCTTATGTAAGATAAAGAATTTTGATATTCTAAAACTAGTAAAAAACATTGTACGTGTCATATGTACTGCTTCATACATGTACAAGCGGAATGAGTGATGCATTTTATAAAATATACTCAAAACTTGCGAGTGTCAATTTGGTAGGTTGTTAATTGGTTGTTGGATAATTAAATAACCTAGCTGGTTGCTGATGTATTCCAAACTATGTAAGAGCTGTTCGTCGGTTTTCATCGATAGATCCAACAAAATTCATTTCGTTTTCGGTAACACTATTTTGCATAACATTATCTGCTTTTTATTTTTCTGTGAATTTTATCTTTGATTTATATTTCTAACAATCCACGAATTTATGAAAAAAGTGTTATTTTTGACAAAATCACGAAATTTTATGTCCACGAATTCCCAATATTTTTTAACAAATATATCTATTAAACAAATATTTTTAAACATATATTCAATAAAAGCAAATATTTTTCTGTACGAAATCTGCTGTGGTCATAGTATTATTTTTACAATAGGTTTATCTCTTAGATTTGGTTTGCTATATTGCTAATCATGGTCATGCAACTACATAGTTAGGTGAAGAAGCAGGCGCTTGTTTTGGTTGAGTCTATTATGTTTTGTTTAGGGGGTGAGTTGTCATACACAAATTTACAATTTATATGCATTTATTTTGTTCCAATGATTGTTATTATCTTAAATGCTTCTGTGATTGTTGTTTTATCAATTCATTTGTAAATAAGATTGTTATATGTCTATTAACGGAATAATTTTAATGAACACGAAATTAGTTCACACCTACATGTGTATTGGTAACGTGATGGTTTAAGCCAATGAAAACACATCAATATAATTACAATCAGGCATAGAAAAAGTGTGCAAAGAGTAAATCGATAATCTTTATGTGATAAACAAACTTTGAATTGCAAGTATTTTTTCATATCTTTTCGGCAGGATAAACTGTCCGAGGAGGGCCAGGCATTTTCGTATCGTAAAATGGCTGCCATTTACAGTATCAAGTGATTATCCCAAGCACCACCGCGACTTTGCGCGGTAATTTTAATTATAGCTAACCTCGGCGCGTCGCATAGGATAGAAAATACCTTTTTCATATTTAATTGTAATAAATATTTACAAACTGTGTCTTTCGGGTTTTTTTTATCAATATATAACCAATAATGATGTTAATATGAATAAATAATCATATCTCAAATCTGTGACTCAAATTTGTGATTATGCTTCAAAGCAGTCAATTGACCGTGAATTTTCTTTTCATATTTTGATTTCCTTGAAATCATTTTTCTCATCGGAAGGCATGCAACTTTAATATGATGATACATTTATTACATTCCATGAAAATGTTTAAAGATATAAAATATCTCATGACATGTTTGTTCATTTTACATTACACCTTTAATTCAGCAAACATAAAGTAGTATGCAATCGTACCTATATTACATACGAATGTATGTAATATTTTTCTTGTTAGATATATATTCAATAAAAGTAAACACATGTGCATTGAATAGTACAATTATATTCATGTGAGCAAAGTATATGACAGAAATCTATTCCGACCATTAGCTGCTGCTTGGCTTTACCTTAAAATGTCATCAGCTAATTATTTCATAATTGCTTTTTCGAAAACCTCTGACCCTGGCACTGCACATTCTGAAAGAAAGCGATAAACCAATTATAAAACGTTTTCAAATTTAATGACATTGTCATAGTCCTTATGGATCTCATAGATATAAACGAATAGTTTAATTAATGTTTATTCAACAGCCTTTACAGTAACCATTGAAAATATATTGAATTATCCAAATTTCCTAATATTTGTTAAACTATCAACATGATAAAAGTGGTATCATAATTTATTATACCAGGGCCTGTCCAACCCCATTTAATTTGTGGATCAGTGTCATCAATGAATTGCTGACCAAAACATGCCATCAGTGTTGAACCAATCTCTCCCCAGGGAATATCATCTAGTCGAATTTGACCTTTAGGAATACCATCACCTTCCCTAGGCCATTCTCTCTCATCCTAAAATTAAACATCCAAGCATTTTACTTTTTTGATGTAAATGTATTAAATTTTAAAATAAATTTTCCCTAAAAACCCAAAGGAAAAAAAACAAACGACCCCAATGTAAATTCATGATTTGTGTCATGGGGTAAAAAATTTTCATGGACCACATTTAATTACTATAAAAAATATTTGGCTTAGAAAAGAATTTTTCATATAAAGAAACCCAAAATACTTTTTTTGCCAAACTCGCCCCCTTACTCAATAATTTAACATGTTACGAAGATACCCGTTTCTCCCGAGTTGTTAATAATATTTCGAGCAATAATGACAACATAGCTAACCTTGACCAGAAGTATAAGAAGTGCGTCTCGGCATCTGTTATCTTGCGGTTCTGACTGACAGAAGAAATAGAAAATATATCGGCTTGGATTCAAACTCACGATATAGTCTCTTTTTCCAGGGACAATGAATGCATTACCTGAAAATAACAAGATGTTTTATTTAGAAATTATAAGAATATAGTGTGAAACAATCGAGCAAATCAAGCAAGAGATGGGAAATGAAATGAAGTGCGTTCAAATGGGTTAGAATTAATAAATGCTTTTCGGGTAAACAAATGTCAAATGAAGTTGATGGACCATTGCTACAAAAATATTAGTACCTGATACTGGACGGAATATAGCTTTCGCACCATCCACACGTTCGTCTATCCCAAAAACAGATCCACAAGTGTTGAATGATGGGAACCTTAATAGAGATAAATTGTGAAAAATATTTTAAGGTCACAGTGGACCAGTAGTACGTAGGACAAGGGCTTCTGTATCAAGAGGTCCAAAGTTTGATTATAATCAAAGTAATTGCTAATGTCAATTAGAATTTTCTCTTCATCCAAGCGGAATTAGGTACCTTAGAGGGCGGCAGGATTCCGTTACGCTATAACGTTATTTTAAGCTATTCTAAAACGAAACAAAGGAACAAAATACCTATATCCATAAGTGCCTATGAAAACATCCATTCAACGCTATTGTAAATTTAATGAAGTAAAGAAATTTAAATATACAAACCATGCCCCTGCTTCTCTACGTATTGATGTTTCATTCAAGACTTGTAGACGTAAGTGATTTTTGAAACCTCTTCCCGGAAACACGTCGTCATCGTCATCAAGATCATAAATACCTATGTAATTAACATCTGCAATCTGTTTTAGTAGGTATAGCTATAATTATTATTGTTTTATCTAAAAATGTTTGAAGTAAAACACAATTGACATTATTTATGTAATGATGTTGATCATGTTACATACATTGTATATTGTGATTTTGATCTATGTTGAAACTGTATAGCAAAACAATAAATCATTTTAGTATTTGTAAATAAAAACTCATTGGGGTTGTTTCATTTTGATATAACTTTTGCCTCTCACAGTGTCATAGATCCTGACTGTTCCTGTTTGCAATGTCGATGGAATAGACAAGCAATTATAAATACGCGTACATTTGACTAAGCATGAAGGTCAACCTTTGGAATGAAACTTTTGCGTACTGATTTGCACAAATATTCAAGTTAGGTTTGCAATTTGCAACATACAATCACAAATCTTAAAAAAAAGAAATGTATTTTAGTTACTTCACAATGACATTCATGCCTGGATGTTGCGCTCAATGGACCAAAATTAGTCTTGATTATTTGTTACGAGCCATAGTAAAGGAAGTGTTGTTTAAGAATTACATGTAGAGTGACTATTATAATCGGTTCCGTTTTAGGAGAGATATTTTCTTGCTTAACATGCAACTTTTTCATGGATGGATTGACCGATAAAGAAGAAATTGGCGGCCGAACACGCTACAAAAATAGCACTGCGGCGACATCGAATATAAACATTTCTGATGATCCCAAAATTAACTTACATGCTCTTTTAACTGGTCCCATGAAATGATGCAGTCATGAGGAGGAATTTTTATGCCTTTCTCAGCTGTCAAATTTTCTTCGGCTTCACTTATCATTAAAATATCAGGAGTTGTACCTAGCGGACTAATTGTTGTTTGTTGTGTAAATGGCAGTAAATCATTTGAAAAACGTGGGAAATAGTTTCTTCTACCTCCTATGTGTCTACTGTATAAAGTTTGGTGTTGAGAGTGCATTGCATCACCATATGGAACGAACAATATTACCAAAATCACAACAAATTTCCTGAAATTAAAACTGTAAGTCATAGTAGTTGTTTTAACAAATAAGGCACAAAATCAACGGTGATGATAACATCATAAAGTAATAAAGAAATAAAAATAGTTGTGACTGCAATCCAAACTAATGCAAAACAAAACAAATTAGAAATTGCATAAACTTTCAACACAGGCTTTAGCAGAATTTTAGCACGCAAGCCTATATAAGTTGCCTTGTTATAAAAAAAAAAACACACACATGCAAGATAACACGCGCACGCACGTACATTCGTGCGCGCACGCACCAAAAATTTTTGTAATTATTTACAATAAAAATATTTGCTTTATAAAAGCATAGAATAAAGGATGAACGAAAAGGTGAATAAAATGTGACATTATGTCCCCCCAAGTGGAAATGTTGAGTATTCAAGTAAATGTCAAAATAATTTTTGTTTCTTGTTTTCAATTTTATAAACCACCTCGCAGGAATAATCAATAGTTCACGTGACCTACATAAATTTCTATAAATTAAAAAGTAGTTGGGCAGACTTTTTTCATATTTAAGGCAAATTGTATATCTAATATCAATTGCTGACCAATAACCATTACAATTTAAGCCAATCTTTTGAAATATAGAGCTTATTTTTCTCATTCTAGCCCCAGTATGCCCCAGGAATAATAAAACCAGAAATACTTTTATTTCTACTTCTCAAAAGCTTCTTATATTGTATGTCCAGTTATACGAGAAGTTTCAATAAAGTTACTCATTGGTCAATTACCTGTATCATATTTTGTTAACATCTTTTTTTTATGACAAATGATTTCACATTCAGCGCTACTTTCTTCAGGTAATAAACATCTTACATGCTCTTAAACCAATGTTAAAACATTACAAAACTTATATGTTTGCCCTTTCTAAAGATGGAAAATTTTATTTGTTTCCGAGACATAACGTGCGGGAAATGAAAACTTAAAATTCTATCTGTTGCCTGGTAAATTGCATGCAGATAATGTAAGATTTTATTTCTATTTTCACTTGCTAGAAATAATTTCATTTATTCATTTCGACATTTTTCGTGAAATAGATGGTTTTATTTCAGCAAATTATAACAAAAATGTAGGGAATCATGTAATAACTACATGTACACATGCACTTTCTTTCATTTTGCTAAGTTTGCAATATGTTTATGAACTTTACATATGTACAATCATTCAAAAGGAGAAAATAAATACTTACATTTTGGATATTCGAAATATTCCAGGCAAAAACTATACACGCAGTATTGACGCTCGTGGGCACAATATACTGAATCGAAGCGGTTTTGCCTTAAGTAAAGCGGAATCACACATGTAAATATTTTTTATTAGAGTTGTACATGTATTTGATACTGTATCTAACATGATTTATGGATGATATTTTCATTATGTTGACAATATCCCGCTTCGTTCCAAATTATCATGGAGTTTTATATCACGTTTTTAAATAAAGGTCTTTGAAATTTATATTATACAAGGTCTACTTGTTTCTAACTACCTAGTACATTGATTTTTCCTATGAGGAAATGAAATTGATTGTGTTTTGCATTCTAATTTTGCATTTTATGAACTTTATTTATATGAAAAGAAAATCAAATGTAAAGGTGTTTCATATAAGCAATGTTAAATTTTAGTGGGAGATAATTTTAACTACTATGAAACATTTAAATATGGATGTGATGATATCTTTCAGTTGAAATTATAGCCACTTTTCATCCGTAGTTTATGCAAAAATATTGCAATTAGATCCATATCATACGAGTATATTTATCATAAGATATTCATGTATTAAAGTCATATACATGTAGGTGTTATCAATTAATTAATAAAGTAATGATGTAAGAAATTGTTCATAAGTCTAGCATCTTTATTTCAAGAGTTATCTTCTCTTCGTTTAAGAATTTTGCTTTTAAAAATGTTATATTCTTGTAACAACAAGAGATGTTAAAGATTTATCCTCAGAGTCTCTGTCAGTTGGTCTGTTTGTCCGTTTTTAAAAACTGTTTCCCCGAGATCTCTTTTAAAGACATTTGAACTTTTCAAACGACTTTACTTAAAATAGTGAAAAGTTGAAACATCAGTTATACATATTCATCCTGAGAAAATTGTATCTTTTGATTATCTGTTCTATAAACATAATTAGGGAAACTTAACATATTACTTAGATACAGACAACCTAAGAGCTCAAAAGATGTAAGTTTATTCATGTCATTCATTCATTCAGTGACATTGACCCCGTTTTGCGACCGGTGATATAATCGATGGTTGCTAGGGTTTTCTTGTTTTAAATATTGCCTTGCATTGGAAATTGGCACATTAATTAATTAATACCAGGACCATACGATACTCAATTTTGGATATTAAATAGTGATTCACACTGAAGTTATTAGACAAAAACAAAAAACAATGGATATTTAGTGCCTGAGGCGCAGTGACTCTTTGTGTTATTCAGCCATTTTGGAGTCGATATAAGAAATAGGTATTATATAAAAACAGCAGATTATGAATTACTTTTTATGTACTGTTAACAATTCAAATCAAGTCCGTACTAACCAGCGCCCTAAGGCCTAGATTCAATTATAATGTGGAAAGATTAAACGATCACTCACCCCTACTGACAGAGGTCTTCGTCACGCTTGAGTGCAGCGCAGATTGAAATACGCGCTTGTAGCTTCTTTCATGGAGCTTTTCTTTAATTCTGTGTTTTACTTTTGAGACAATTAGACGTAATCTTTTTCTTTTTTTAGCTCGACTATTCGCGGAATAATCGAGCTAATGCAGTCACCCATTTGTCGGCGTCCCTGTGGTTAAGTTTTTGCATGTAAGCTGGTATCTCCATAACTACTGAAGGGAATGGATTGAAACTTCATACACTTGTTTCCTGTGATTATCTAAGATGATTGGCACAAGTCCCATAACTCTGATTTGCTTTTGTACATAATTATGCCCCTTTTTTGACTTAGAAATTCTTGGTTAAGTTTTTGCGTGTAAGCTGGTATCTCCATAACTACTGAAGAGATTGGATTGAAACCTCACACACTTGTTCCCTGTGATTATCTAAGATGATTGGCACAAGTCACAACACTCTGATTTGCTTTTTTACATAATTATGCCCCTTTTTCGACTAAGAAATTCTTTGTTAAGTTTTTGCGTGTAAGCTGGTATCTCCATAACTACTGAAGGGAATGGATTGAAACTTCACACACTTGTTCTCTGTGATTATCTAAGATGACTGACACAAGTCCCATAACTCTGATTTGCTTTTTTATATAATTATGCCCCTTTCTCGACTTAGAAATTCTTTGTTTAGTTTTTGTATGTAAGCTGGTATCTCCATAACTACTGAAGTGAATGGATTGAAACTTCACACACTTGTTCCCTGTGATTGTCTAAGATGATTGGCACAAATCCCATAACTCTGATTTGCTTTTGTACATAATTATGCCCCTTTCTCGACTTAGAAATTCTTGATTAAGTTTTTGCATGTAAGCTGGTATCTCCATAACTACTGAAGGGAATGGATTGAAACTTCACACACTTGTTCCCTGTGATTATCTAAGATTTGCTTGTTTACATAATTATGCCCCTTTTTGACTTTGAAATTCTAGGTAAATTTTTGCTTGTTAGACGGTATCTCCATAACTACTGAAGGGTTTGTACCTTTTCGGACAATTTTATGTATTCATATAGGTAAGCATTATTATACTCAATGAAACACCCTTTTGACAACTTTTCGAATAGTCGAGCGTTACTGTCCTCCGACAGTTCTTGTTTCTTTTTTGTTTCTATTTCAAAAATTGATGCTTGCAAGTATATAACAAACGCTCACTATTCAGTAGTCTAAGTGGATTAATATTTTCTGGATTATACACTTGCTTATTCATACTACAGTGTTTATGATTTGTGCATAAAGCAACATAATGGAGAGTAGCACCGATTATGCGGAATTAGAGCCAGTGACAGTTTAAAAATCCCCGTTTGTGTGTCAACTAACACGTCTGACTGGCGTCACATCAAATCAATACCATTGCCCGTTTTCGGTTAGTGTGTTTAGCGAACCCCTCTATTATTAGTTAAACTTATTAGCTGACTCGCTTTTTCAAATGCAAACCGGATGTTTTATTGAAAAAATTTCAGGAAATGCTGGTCCAGGCGTTTTTTTATTGACCGCCTTTAAATCAAATATCCCAATTTTCTACCTAAAAACTTGAAAAACCCCCAAAGAATCCTTTCGAATTGTAAAAATTTTTGACGGTTTCCCCATATGCCGGAAAATGAAAAAAAAGGTGTAACGCACGAAGGGAGACCCATAAAAATGTGAAACTGGTTGCATTTTAAAAATTTTTAATGGATGGATTTGTGAAATTTTCACTGCTTAAGGGTTTAAAAATAAGTGAAACTCGCGCCAAAAACGCCGTAAACCATACGAACTCTCCCATCAATTCCAGGCGGTAATGACCACAGCCAATGCCGAGCAGAATTAAACCATTTAAAGGCAACCATCGCTGCACTGCAAGCTGATATCGTGATGATTAAACAGACATTAACGCTTAGCGAATCGTCAACGAATGCGGCACATAAAAATGCAAAAGAAGTGTCTCAGACGTTAGACAAAGAAATTAACAGTGTAAAATCATTGACAAACGATGTCAACAATCGCCTTATTGAGACGGAGTCCAAAATCGAGAATGATGTACGCGCGTGTAAAACATATATACACCAGAATCAAGAAAAATTGAAATCAATACAGGAATCGGTGATTAACCTTTCATCTAAATTTCAAAATGCTAAAACGCGCATAGTTTATAACATTTCAAACGAGTCTGGTCTATCCGGCAAAGTGGCAGATATAGGCTCAATGCCACCATCAATCAAGCATGAACCTATATACCAAGCTCGGGCTTCGGAAGAGCGGGCTTTGCATGCCCCACTTATGTCATATGTTCC